CCTCAATTGCGTGCACTAATCCCGTTACCACTAATCCCAGCACCACCACTATTCCAGGAAAGGCACACCATCGACTGTAATACAAAATTATATTAGTAGAATGCAACAAATTCTACGGCTTTTGTAGTGTTTGATGGTAACCAAAACTTATTTTTGGATAAATATAAGTGCTTTGCATTACAACAAAACACGTGTTATATGTTGGATAAAACACACAGCGTTTATGTGAAGAAGTTTCTTGTGAACCTCGTATCTTTTAAACTAATAAAATGCATAAATACCGAACCAGATTATCTATGGTCTGTCATTTTCGGCCAATTACTCACCAGCTAGGGCGCCTGCTTTGAGCGCTGTCACTGCTGATCATGAGGTCCCGAGTTTGAATCCCGGGTTGGGCCAAAATTAACCCGGAGTCAGAATGTTGGCGGTGTTACACCCCCGTGCCTCGGAAATAACTTAAGTAAAAAAAATAGCAAGAGTGACAGAAGCCAGAATCCCGAACAGAGACCGCGGTAGCTAGGCGGACGGAGGTGGCACTACAAAAACTCACCCTAGGCATAGTTCAAGGTTTCGGCCATAATTTTTTAAACTAACAAACACAACTTAATAAAATAAATACCTAATACTCTTCGCTAACTCTTCGAGTGTATATTCAATAGAAAGTTTGCCTGTCAAACTTGTTGTTGTAAACGTAACTGCTGATGAGGTACTAGGTGCGAATCCCGTGTCGGGCCAAAAACATTAGTTAGTTTCCGTCAGGAAATTTTCAGTAGCTGCCCGGAGTCAGAAATTTGGCTATGTCTCACCTCCGTGCCTCTGAAAGACGTTATTTCAGCACCTGATCTCTCTCCGGCCGTATCGGATTACCGTCCTATCGGACTATGAGAGTGAGAGTGAAAAAAATTATAAAAAAATGAAAAAGAGTGTACCTGTGCTTGCACATACACTTGGGCATTTAATCCTGTCTTGCGCAGATAGAATCTCCGTTGAGACTTGCCACCGTGACCGAAATGTGGTCTGGAGGACATTATTTTTATTATTTTACGTGATTATTGGGTTCTTTCAAATTTTATAGTTTTGTTCAGTTTTCGCTCATAATAACTTCCGTAACGTTTAGAACAGGTGGTAGTATAAATCGTGTTATAACATATTATTTTAAAGAGATTTAAAACTCCTAACTATGAATCGATTTATATAAAAGCAACAATCGATTTATATAAACTGCACTACATTTAATATATAATTTGAAATTGCATCAAAAATTATGTCTTACGTTGTTTTCATAGTACTTTTAAAATAACTGTTAATATATTAAAGTTTATTGCAACGTTAACAGTGTTGCTTTTATATAAATCGATTCATAGTTAGGAGTTTTAAATCTCTTTAAAATAATATGTTATAACACGATTTACAATACCACCTGTTCTAAACGTAACGGAAGTTATTATAAGCGAAAACTGAACAAAACTATAAAATTTGAAAGAACCCAATAATCAGGCAAAATAATAAAAATAATGTCCTCCAGACCACATTTCGGTCACGGTGGCAAGTCTCAACGGAGATTCTATCTGCGCAAGACAGGATTAATTGCCCAAGTGTATGTGCAAGCACAGGTACACTCTTTTTTATTTTTTTATATTTTTTTTCACTCTCACTCTCATAGTCCGATAGGACGGTAATCCGATACGGCCGGAGAGAGATCAGGTGCTGAACTAACGTCTTTCAGAGGCACGGAGGTGAGACACAGCCAAATTTCTGACTCCGGGCAGCTACTGAAAATTTCTTGACGGAAACTAACTAATGTTTTTGGCCCGACACGGGAATCGCACCTAGTACCTCATCAGCAGTTACGTTTACAACAACAAGTTTGACAGGCAAACTTTCTATTGAATATACACCCGAAGAGTTAGCGAAGAGTATTAGGTATTTATTTTATCAAGTTGTGTTTGTTAGTTTAAAAAATTATGGCCGAAACCTCGAACTATGCCTAGGATGAGTTTTTGTAGTGCCACCTCCGTCCGCCTAGCTACCGCGGTCTCTGTTCGGGATTCTGGCTTCTGTCACTCTTGCTATTTTTTTTACTTAAGTTATTTCCGAGGCACGGGTGTGTAACACCGCCAACATTCTGACTCCGGGTTAATTTTGGCCCAACCCGGGATTCAAACTCGGGACCTTATGATCAGCAATGACAGCGCTCAAAGCAGGCGCCTTAGCTGGTGAGTAATTGGCCGAAAGTGACAGACCATAGATAATCTGGTTCGGTATTTATGCATTTTATTTGTTTAAAAGATACGAGGTTCACAGGATGCTTCTTCACATAAACGCTGTGTGTTTTATCCAACATATAATACGTGTTTTGTTGTAATGCAAAGCACTTATATTTATCCAAAAATAAGTTTTGGTTATAATCAAACACTACAAAAGCCGTAAAATTTGTTGCATTCTACTAATATAATTTTGTATTACAGTCGATGGTGTGCCTTTCCTGGAATAGTGGTGGTGCTGGGATTAGTGGTAACGGGATTAGTGCACGCAATTGAGAGAGGGCGGGAGGTGCACTTCAATCCAGGTTCAATCCAGGTAAGACACATCATTGTATTTAATTAAGCGGAAGGTTGCGAATTAACTATTACTTCGCAACCTTCCGCTTTTATTTATTTATTAATTAGCTACAATACATTACATAAAAATCGAGACTTCTTACGCAATATCAGTGATTATCTGGAAAATCGAACTTACTAATTATTGTTTTCTATACTTATTATGGTTTTAGTAGCGTACTCATTGAATGCGCGGCTATTTTAATACGTTTTCAACGCGTTAAAATAATTATAATCCGTATAAATAAAAATAATTAAAAAGTTTATAATTTAAATAATTTTATTAGTTGTATATGTAAAAATGTTTCGAAATGTAAGTTTGTTTTTACAAAACGCATTGTTTGAAAAGCAAAAACGAATATTTATATTATATTTGCAACGAAATTCATCTAATAATAGATTCGCAATACTATGCTAAAATGTACTTGTCGCCTGCAGTGCCAAGAAATTTTATAATAGATGAGTGTCCAAAATTTATAGGAAATAAACGAATACCACAAAAGTGCGCTATACCGTTCTACTTTCGAAACACAAAAAATTAGCGACGCGTTTAATAAAAAATACAGTCTGATAAATTCTCATTCTCTTCCGACTAAAATAGAAGCTGTTCTCTAGAATAAAATTAATGCATTTCGATGTAAAAATAACTTCAATACGGTAACTCTTATACATTAAAACATAGCGGGAACATTATGTAAGTTAGAAATGTTTGAACTACGTACTCTAGTGCGAGGTGAAATAGATGTAATCTGCTTAAATGAAACGTTCTTAAAGTAAAGAACTGAAAATAATCTAAAACTGTCGCAATATAAATCAGTTTTGTACTTTTCCAGAAAACATCAAAGACGTGCATACTCCTAAAAAACTATCTCAATTGGCTTTCAATATCAGTTAAGAAGGAGCTATTTGCTCACTATTTTGGATGTTGTGGCATATAACAGCACTTCACAAGTCCACAGCTGTACATAGGCTTCTCACAAGGAATGCCACAAAGCATGACCCCGAGCCACCTGCATCCATCGACTTCCTGCATGTCTTACCAGGCCGTCACTCCATCTAGTGGGGATTGCCCTACATTAAGCCTACCAGTGCGAGGCTGCCACTCGAGAACCTTTTTTCGAGCTATATGGCCGGCCTATTTCCACTTCAGCTCACTAATCCGTTGGGCTGTGTCAGTCACTCTGGTTCTGCTGCGGATATCCTCATTTCTAAGTTTATCATGCAGACAAATCCTGAGCATAGCCCTCTCCATAGCTCGCTGAGTGATCTTGGTTGATCTGTTTTATTGTATGCCAAACTGAATCCATTTTTTGACAGACTTGGACTTTTGTTACACAGTATTAAATAACAATAATGGTAATTTTATGTAGGGAGGTAATTTTATGTATATGTGAAACATATTAAAAAAATAAAATAATATTAAAGAACTAAATTATTTATTCAGTAATTATAACTTAGCTACCAATGTACACAAACCTACAAGAAATAAATCATCTATTGATCAAATAGCATCTAACTTTAATATTTCAAATGTTAGATGTGGTACACACAATTTAGAACTGTCGTATCAATCAAAGAAGTGAAAGAATCATTAGAAACTTATTTCAATTTAGACGTAGCAAAGAAAATCTTGATAAAATCATACAGTGTATATTAGTCTTGTCGTTCAACATAGTTTATAAGAAATTCAACCTCAATAAATCATTCGAAATTTTAAAATTCGTATGTATCTTAAAATTTGATTATGCGGATAAAGCATTGATAATCCAAAAAATGCATAGGAGCATTATGTGAGGTTGAACTTTATGAACACTGTTCACCATTGTTTAAAAAACTAAAAAAATACCATTCCATTGTCTCTACATACTAGAAATAAGTATTTTTGTGAAAAAGATCCAAATTTATTTCCATCACACAATTAAGTATTGGGAAAAAAGAAAATTAAATTAAAGGTAAAAATATATACCACAACAAAGACTTAATATGTATATATAAAAGTTGTTTTTGTACGGCTACCAACATTATATGTACATTAATTTAATTAAGTTTTTTTATCTATTTTATTAATGAATAACTTCTTTGGTTTGAACAAATTACAATAGAGATGAACATATTATTTTTTTAAAACACCCGTTAATATAAAAAAGTCAATATTTTTCTAATTTAAAATGTATGTAATTACTATTCTACTACTAGTACAATTTTATTTTTATGTTCTCTTCACAAATTGTTCCAAATTAAAAAAAATTGTGAAAATTCAAATAATTATTTATTTCACACGAACAATTTATGAATTTTCATAAATTTGTGTCTTCTTGCATTTTTATGAATAAAATAAGTGCAAAGCAAATAAATAATACCGTTATATAAAAATTTGATAGATGCATATAATCTTCTTACCTTTGCCTTTAAAATCCCAAAAACTATGTTCCGTAAAGGTTCTTTTATTTGTTACGAGTTTTAAATCCATTTTTTTTATTTTCTATTTAAATCAAAAGTGCTTTTCAACACATCAGCAATTACTTAAGGCAAATGTTGTTTACGATAAATTTTTTATGTTTTGCTTTATATACGAATGACTTATGTCCGTTGTGTACTGTCGCTCAATGTCAAATTGGTTTGTTCTAATTGGTTCCATATTTTTCGTCACTATTTTGATAATTCCGTGTCTAATTTAATTCGCATTGTCTTATCTAATACAAGATTATTTAAATGAAACTAGTTTTTAGGGATATTATCGTCATTGTCAGCGAGATGCAGATCTTTTATCTTACTTAAAAAAATGATGAAAATCCTTTGTGTGTGCTCTGGCATATCCTCTCAGTGGTGATAGTATTTTTGCTAAGTTTTGTGCCAGCTTATTAGTTGGTAAATCAATCTGGCTTACCTACTTATTACTTACTCAATAGGTAAGATGGATGGGTACTACCATCTGCTTGAGATCCTATAATTAATAAAATTAAATCCAAACCCAAGCATGTCACTGCAATACTTCAAGATACAGAAAGGTCATTCTGCGTAGTAAGACCAAAAATTAATATCAAAAACTGATGGTAGCCAGGCTAACTATGACATAGGGACGAAGTTCGAACCCAGGGGGTGATCAGGGGTGCTGTAAAGCAATTAAAAATTAAAATTAAACGCGATAAAATCCGTAAAAAAATAGTTTCATTTAATGTTTAGTGTTCGCGTAAATATAAGAAATCACAAAAAGATTAATACTAATAACATTGTTTGTGTAATTGGTTAAGAAAATATTTCGTTTGCTAAATGTACTTCATAGATTTGAGACCTGTTATCATATTTTTATTAATATTTAATTAAATAAAGAGATAAAGTCCAACGGATCAGTAAGGTAAAGTGGGCCGGCTATAGATCCAAAAAACAACCAATGAGGACGAGAGGTTCTCAAATGACAGCCTCGTACTGGTAAGCGAAATGTAGGGTGGCCCCCACTAGATGGAGTGAAGACCTGGTAAGAGATGCAGGAAGTTGATGAATACTTGATAAATCATTTCTTTGGGGGAAAGGGCTACGCTCAGCAAAGGTCATGTAAGAAGGGTAGTCATGATTTTTCTCTCACAAAATTGAAGTAACACACCAAGATACATTCTATCTGATGGTCAGTGACTACTGCAGCCTATAGACTCCTCGAACTTAGGAAATACGTACGTACAGTGTAATCTTTTCTGACATAGTAAATAATCTTAATCTTATATCTCATAGTAAATAAGCTCAAAACTATAACACCTCCAGCACTAGAGGTAGATGCGATAGTTTTACTTTAGTATATAATTACTTTGTATCTCATTTTAAGTGAACCATTGTATGTTCTTATGAGAAATAAATTTCTTTAAACCGAACTAACTTCAAACAAAGAAGGCTTCCAATGCATTTTATTTTTTATTTTTGCGGTCGAAGAGAGACTTCCTCACATGTTTTATATATACTGGCTCTATATACCTTCGATTCCGGTAATGCTTGACGGCAGAAATAGGTAAGAGGATAAATCCGACCTAGATGAACCCCTAGTCTTACAAGGAGTCCCATCACCAAATACTACATATTGGTAATAACGAGAAAAAGCAAGTGTAGCTGATATGAAATGATACAATAAGAAATACTTTAGTTTGTCAGCCAATACAACATAAGATAATGCATATGCCAACAGGGTGACGCCACTTAGTAATGAGATGAAATATTTGACAGTTATGTAGCGGGGGAAGGTAATTTGTAAGAAAGGTGTAAATAATAATGTTTCTTTCTGAAATATTTTATATTAATTAGATAAAAAAAACATAAAAGAAAAACCAAACTACGGATATTGCTAAAAGAAGAAAAATTTAAAAAAATGTGCAAAAAAATTAAAAAACATAACACTGAGGCATTGTTATGTGTATTTACTCATTCCAGAAACCGATAAAGTTTAATTAAATCCCAACTACTCATTTATTTATTAAGTCATTAGGTCACCGCACTTCCCAACCAGCGACATCTGGTAAGCGTAAGATTAATTAAATTTAATTAATTAATCTTAAAATTTTATTATGAGAGGTTGAATTAATTTAATTTAATTAAAATTAAATTAATTCAACCTCTCATTGGCGATACTGAAAAAAGTAAGATCTTTTTGGATTGTTTTTTAAAGTTTCATTTTGAGATGGTTAGTGATATAAAATAAAAAGACGTGTGGCACTCGGGGACTGCCGCGGTAAAGCTATTGCATAGCATTTTTTAAGAATCATAAAGAATCATAAAAACTGTATTATTCGGGCTAAACGAATCTAATAAAGATCTGTTATTTTTGTCTCCTGCGATAAAAACAGACTATAGGAATCTATCGAATACCTACATAAATAAAATATCACCTATAAATAAAATATTACGAAGCGGAATAACTAATAAGAGTGGCAACGTCGCACTATACAAAGGAATTGCGTTAAGACGACACCTCAAAAGGGCTATCGCTGGACTGATCCGAGTGAATGCATAATTTCTATAAAAACTTGAAAAAACGCCCTCATAAGGTCTAAATAGCGTAGCGCCCGCGACGATTAAAAGCGCTTAGAAGTTCTCAGAAACTTTAGATTTTTTTGTAAAAAATTTTTGTAAAAAATATTGATTTGAGTAATCAAAATAATGAGCAAGTAAATTATGAATATTAATGTTATGAATATATTTGAGTGATTTCGAAGCATATAGATTAAGTAATTTCGTTGTAATTTCAACTATAGTGGTTTTTAGAGGTGTTTTCGCAAATAATTATGAACGAGTCAAAATTATACTATCGTGTTTTTGAGCAATCAAATTCAAGATAAAGACATGAATTTATCTATATCAAAAATTCACTTCTCTTAGTGGTGTCATAGTCCTATCAATTATTTTATTATTATAATAGTACATGATATTCCCTTTAAAATGACACCAATATGAATAATATCTTATATCTATATCTACAAATAAATAAAATTGAAGTGTCTGTTTGTAATGTTAAAATAACAGCTTTTTATTAAATGCATATGAAAGTACTAGTAACAAAAACACAATTTTTAAATTTTTTGTCTCTCTGTCGGTCTGTCTGTCTGTGTCTGTTTGTTCCAGCTAATCTCCGAAACAGCTGGATCTATTTTGACGGGACTTTCACTGGCAGATAGCTGATGATATAAGGAATAACTTGAACTACTTTTGTTTTAGAAAAAGAATTAGGGTTCCGCGCAAAAAAAATTAAAACCCATGAAATCCATATTCCACGCGGGCGAGATCGCGGGGAATAACTAGTACTCAATATAGATAAATGTATACTTATTTTTATTTATTTATTATTTTAATAAATAAATAAAAATAAGTATTAATAATTTCTAGACACATCTCAACAGATATTTCGTTAATAAATTGCTATCAATACTGAAGCATTCTTTTATATTTAGCATCCATTTAACACAAAAAAAAACTGATAAGAATACTTTTTAAACAACATATAATCAATAAACGATAATCGCGTATAGTGAATTTCGAGGTAAACCAGCATGCGACGACGCGGCCCGTGCCTTGCCGCCACTTGCGTTTGCCGCGCTTTGTCTCGTCACAGAGTGGCGAAATCACAGTAATATAGTATAATATATTTTATAAACAGCAGCTGTCTATATTATGAAATATGTAGATAAAACTTAAAACTTACGTATCCCTTTTGTTTGTAATATTTTTTTAGACCTCTCTTCAATCGTTTCTGCTTATTCCCCATGTTTTACAAACTAAACTTAAACATTAATAAAACTGTACAATTACTATAACTATAAAACACTACTATTAAACAAGAATCAGAAAAAACCTACTCCGCTATTAACAAATTTAAATTCTTGCAGTAATATTTTACGATTTTATTTCGTAGTGCTGAGCTCTCGCAACGCGGCGTACGTCCACCTAGCAACACGATGCGCCCCGCACTGAATTCGTGGACGAATGCGGGGGTGATATAGACGCAGTATTTAATCGGGACGCATTTTTAATTTATTATCATAAAAATAATACATATTTCTAAAAAGTAACCAAACCAAATTATTTTATTTTGTATTGCAAAGCAGTAGATATTTTTTTTATATTCCTTTGATAAACAATGAAGGAGTAAAGTGGTTTCATCTCAACGATTTGGAGGTGATTTGGGTATTTTTTTATTTATTATGTGACACTGATAGAAAAATTATGGTTAAACCAAATTACGTATCAGATCATGTAGATTACTAGCTATTTTTTTTCATATGTAATTTCTCTGTAAGTGTCGACGAAAAGTTGGTTCATCTGCTTTTTTCAAGCTTTTTGCGAGAGAGCAGCCTTAATAATAAATGCACTTTGTTCATTCATATTCAAAATTTTAAAACACTTTATACATAAACACCGTGTCGAAGACTGAGGAAAAGAAACGATGTTAGACCATCGTTAGACAATGCACGGCCTTCAAGCCACACCTCCGTGCCCGTCGGAGAGCGTGAGGTTTTTTTCGTTACGAAATTTCTGGATTTTCCCGCACTCAAGGCCCGCGATAGAAGCTATGCAATAGCTTAAAAATTATCCTAGTTTTTTTAACAGTTAAAATATAAAAACTAACTATAACTTTGATTGTTTACTGTATTTTAGGTTTTTTTACGTGTTTTCAAGCGTTTAGGTTCCGGGGTAGGTTAGTAAGCAGTTACAATTCGTTCAGGAAGTTCGGTTTCAGCTGCAGTTTCCAGTTATAAATCAAGACAGATAATGAAATTAGGGCAAGTAAAGGGAAAGTTATAAAAGTAGTAAAATTTCGGTATCGCATTTCCAAGGGGTATTTGTGAACAATCGCTGTTTTATTTAAAGACTCCTCCAGTTTCCGCCCTAAAAGTAGGGAAGTAAGAGAAACTACAGTCCAATAAGTACATGACTGATGTCAAGACTCTTCTCTTTCTTTTAAGAGAGTGGTTAAGGTTCTAAGTCGAACGTCTT